TGTCGGCATTAAATAACCAATGAGGTTAATATGCCGTAAAATAAAATAAACCAAACGCATTTCATATGATGTTATCCTAAACATATTACCGGTATTAAATAACGCAAATGAGGTTGATATGCCTTGAAACTAAATAAACCAAACGGTCACCCATTTAGGTACTGACCTGGTTCAACGTCCCTTAACTCTGACGAACCGCTGTTTCAAAATGATACAGCCGCCAGCCCTAGATAGTTTTGGGGATAATAGAACTACAACGTTGTCCTAGTAGTCGTTAGTTATTTGTTAGAATTTACGTACACTAAAAAAAAAAAAAAAAATGACGAAGAAGGCTATTCGAAAAGATGCAACGGAAAGAAGAATGCCTAGTGACTGAAAAGACAGAACATCGAAGGGCAAGTTCATTTGCTAAATAATGAATATTTATAAAGACGCCAGCACGGAGACGGTTTCTTGTCGTCAGTGTATATTCAGAATTCAGAGGAAAAATTCCAAGAAAAATAACAAATATAAAAAGAAAACACAATTGCATCGATCTTTCCAACAACGAACAGTCAACGTTATTTTCTTTCTTTTTGTCTTGTCAATTTATTTTCGAGAAAATCTTACTAGCTACCATCTTATGAAAAAAAAACAACTTAATAACACGTTGTTGTTTGTTACCGTTACAATGTCTAGTACGTGTAGCTATGTATGGTACAAGGACACATAAGGAGAGAAATGAGGAGAAAGAAAAAATGTGTTAAGCTAATCTTACAAGATGGAGCGGCGTTCCATCCTGGAAAATAAACATTCGAAACCTAGATTTTTATCGCCAGAATCTGTCCTTCAATTCTACAAATCTCCCATTCAGCCTTGCGTTAATACTGTTACCATATATGGTCTGGTGCCCCTGCTGTTCGTCTCGAGGTCCTCCGCAACATCCAGAGAAGGATATGCAATGTGATAAGTCCTCATCTGGCATCTCGTCTGCAGTCACTTTCTCACAAATGTGTTGTGGCTTCCCTTTGTCTTTTGTACAAATATTTTGATGACAACTGCTCTGACGAGCTACTTTCGCTGGTACCCCAACTGCATGGATTTAAGCTTACTACTAGGTTGGCATCTCGATTCCACCTTTTCACTGTCGAAATGGTTAAATTTAACCACCTCTTCTACCCCAAGAGTTTCTTATCCTACACTTCCCTTCTGTGGAACTCCCTTCACCTTACTTGCCTCCTTGATAACTATAATCTTCAAATATTCAAATATTAATCGACATCTTCTGATGCCTTGATGCTGATCCCTGTCCTTGTCTTTATCCTTTCCTCAACCCCCCTTTACTCTTGCTCTCTACCCTCACTAACCCCCTTGCGTGGTAATGGCACTCCCGCTTTGCTTGGGGTGAAATGCTTTAAAATATTCTTTACAAATATTGAAATATTATAATTTGCAGTAAAATTAATGTTTAACTGGCTTTAATTTTTTAAAATCTCATTCCAATTCTTGCTTGAACTTGAATGAATAGGTCTTGCAGATAAAGCAAATATTTCACACCAAGCAAGGCAATAAAGCCACTAGGGCGTAAGGGCATTATAGAATGTTAGAGAATAAGAGAAAAACTACTATTACGGAGAGAAAACAATAAAAGAACAAGAATAAAGATGACAGAAGATGCCGATTGACATTGCATTTAAATCCCCCCAGCAAGGCAATAAAGCCACTAAGAAGCAAAGGTATTACTGAGTGTTAGAGAATAGGAGAAAAGTTGCTATTACGGTGAGAGGACAATAAAAGAACAAGAATGATGATGACAGAAGATAACGATTGACATTGCATTTAAACCCCCCCAGTAAGGCAATAAAGCCACTAAGAAGCAAAGGTATTATTGAATGTTAGAGAATAGGAGAAAAGCTACTATTGCGGAGAGAAAACAATAAAAGAACAAGAATGAAGACGACAGAAGATGACGATTGACATTGCATTTAATTTCCTCCCCAAGCAAGGCAACAAAGCCTCTAAGACGCAAGGGGGGTTACTGAGTGTTAGAGAATAGGAGAAAAGCTACTATTACGGAGAGAGGACAATAAAAGAACAAGAATGAAGATAGAAGATAACGATTGACATTGCATTTAATTTTCTCCCCAAGCAAGGCAACGAAGCCTCTAAGACACAAGGGGGGTACTGAGTGTTAGAGAATAGGAGAAAAGCTACTATTACGGAGAGAGGACAATAAAAGAACAAGAATGAAGAAGGTAGAAGGTATTGGATTTGACATTGCATTTAAATCCCCCCAGCAAGGCAATAAAGCCACTAAGAAGCAAAGGTATTGCTGACTGTTAGATAATAGAAGAGAAAGTACTATAAAGGAGAGAGGACAATAAAAGTACAAGGATTAAGAAGACGGAAGATAACGATTGGCATTGCATTTAAATTTTTGAAGATCAAAGTTAAATAGGAAGACGGAAGAGAATTCGACAAGCCAGAAAAGAAACTCTTAAATAGAACTTAGGATTACATCTGTTCATTTCAACAGTAAAATGATGAGACCTTGCAATCTCCTACAGCGCTTAAATTCATAAAGTACCATAGCAGATTGATCAGGACAATCATCATGAAATTATTTATAGAAAAGACACAAGGAAAATTTACGGTGGTGGGAAAGGGATTACAGCTGAGATGCCAGGTCAGGACCAATAACATTGCAGATTCTTCTTTGTATTTTATCAAGACTCTCTAAATATATAGCAGGAGCACCAGATCAGATGTGGCAGTAATATTCAAAGCAGAGACAAATGGTAAACTTATAAATATGTAAAATACTTTCTGTCCAGAAAATGCATAAAAGAATAAAAGAAATAACAAGACATAAGACATGTCCATCAGCAGAATGAGTAATATCCAAGGAAAATATTTAATCTGCCACCACAGACGACTGCATAAAATGATTGGTGTAAGGATGGAGTGCTCATGTCAATGGCAAGACACAAGTCAAATGTTTTTCACGTTCATTTCGCTTATTAGCATTGGATATTTATAGCACTTATAAAATGTTTTCAGTCAAACAAAATAGAAAGAAACTAAATACAAGGCTGTTGGAAAGTTTATAAAATATTTATTCCTAAAAATAAGAATTCAAAATCTGTCATGAAATTTGAAAAGAGGAAAATAATAAAGAAGTCTCCTGAAATCAGCCTTTATTTTTAAGACATTACATTATACAGTGTAACCCGGATAAAAGAGACCCGGATATAAGAGAAACCCGGATATAAGAGAGATTTTCTCTGGTCCCAAATTAGAGCCTGTGCTAATGTATATAAAATAGACCAAACCCGGATATAAGAGAAACCCGGATATAAGAGACTTTCTTCTCCGGTCCCGACAACTCTCTTATATCCAGGTTACACGGTATATTTAAGTCTGCTTGGTTTGGTTTGGTTTGGTTTCGTTTGTTTAACGGCATATCGACACCTCAATGGGTTATTTAATGCCAACAAGATTTTTAGGATAGTTTTGTATGAACAGAATATATATTCTTTGTAAGAAATCAGTTTGTAGGAGATTTGGTTTCGTTTATTTTCTTTTACGGCATATCAACACCTCAGTGGGTTATTTAATGCTGACAAGATATTTAGGATAGCTTCATATGAATAGAATATGTATTCTTTGTTATAGATTTGTTTGGCTTGATTTGTTTTACGGCATATCAACACCTCAATGGGTTATTTAATTGCCATAAAACAAAATAAATCTCCTACAAACTGATTTCATACAAAGAATATATATTCTATTCATACGAATCTATCCTAAAAATCTTGTCGGCATTAAATAACACATTGAGGTTGATATGCCTTAAAAGAAAACAAATCAAACTAAATCTTCTACAAGCTGATTTCATGCAAAGAATATATATTCTATTCATACGAACCTATCCTAAAAATCTTATCGGCATTAAATAACCCATTTAGGTGTTGATATGCTGTAAAACAAACCAAACCAAGCAGACTTAAATATACAATGTAATGTCTTAAAAATAAAGGCTGATTTCTGGAGACCTCTTTATCATTTTCCTGTTTTCAAATTTCATGACTGATTTTACCTTATTAAAATTTAAAGCGCGCCCTAGAGTTTTAGCTATCCCACAAGTGCGCCTTAGAGTACAAAAATGAAAAAATGTTGGGAAAAATGGTCTAGAGAATAATATGGATGCTTCACACATCACTACAGCAAAACGATTGCATTTTTCTCAGCTTTCCTACACCCATTTTCCCGCCTTTCTAATCGTTTGTTTCTCCATAGTTATTCATTTAAAAGAATGTACTTTTTGTCGCATTTGTTTCGTAAATGTATTAATTTTGTTTGTTTGTTTGTTTTTTTTTGGGGGGGGGTGCACCAATTGAACCCCGATATATGATTTCGGAATTTGTCAGGTATGTTATCATTAGAGTCATATTCCTTTAATAATTAATTGTAATAAATTCTTTACTAAAATAATTCCCGATATACTTCTATTGTAATGCATATGATCACCGAAGTGAAGCAGCGTCGAGCCCGAATAACAGGTGCTGTAAGCTTGGATGTGCGGCTGGTGTAATGGATAATAGATCCGAATTGATAATAGGAGAGCCGAGTTCTAATTCCAGTTGAGTTCGTTATAATCACATGCGCAAATACTCTCTGGCAAGTTATGAACCCACATCTTCTACCCCCAGCTATAGGTTAATTAGTAAAACTTGTATTAGTAAATCATTATTATCTAAAAAAAATTTCTTACAATCCAAAAATATTCTCTGGCTTTAAATAACATGCAATGGGTTGATGAACCGTAGAAAAATTATATCTCTGAAGAACTCACTAAAGAACTCTTTGAAACAAATAATGGCTGGCCGCTCGTGTTCTAGAGATACCTGCCTAGCAGGACGTTTAACCAATCCCTTTTGCAGACTGCTGCTCAAGCATATTTATGTTTGTTCAACACCTACAAAGCAAACCTGTGGGCTTAGTAGAAAATTAGCTGTTTACGATAATATCAAGTTCAATCACAAGTTCCCGTACGATCACCGAAGTTAAGCAATGTCATGCCTGGTCAATACCTAGATAGGTAACCGCTTGGGAATATCAGATGCTGTATTCTTGGATGTAGGGAAGTGTAATTGATAACGACTCTGAATTTTTTATCAGAATGCTGAGTTCCAATTTCTGTTGGGTTTTTTGTATATTTACTTAGTGCGCAACTATCCTTGCGAACTGTACGTATCCACCTCTTCCCCACCCCAGATAGTGATTAGTAAGTCGTCGATGACTAAACTATTATTATCTAAAAAAAACAAAAAAAACTTGTCACAATTTGAAAATAGTTTCTGGCTTTAAATAACCTGCTTAAGGGTCGATAAACCGTAAAAACCGAATCGATCAATCAAACAGATATTATCTACGCAGGCATTTCTTTTTTATTTATTTATATTCTCCAGAATATGTATATGTATAGATACTACCGTGGCCACAATGTGGGGGATCATTTCATGTATTGATTCTTATACGGAATTGATCCCACACTTTATAACCACATTTTAACTGTTTTAGCAAATTATGATTAGGAATGTATCCACCAATTCTCCCCAAGTTATGGATTGATTATTAACATTTATATCACGAAATCATCATTGTCTAAAAAATGGTCCTACAATCAAAAACTGTTTTCTGCTTTTAAATAACCTGAAAAGGGTCTATAAGCCGTAAAAACGAATGAATCAATCAATTCAATGGTATTATAATTTGCGTTGAATTTTCACAAATTAATTTAGTATTTATGGTTTAAAGAAAGATAGGTCACTCAAAAACAATGTCTGTTCGTTTATTATAATATATTTAATGATAACAGCAAATAAATCATACCAAAATAAACAGAAAAGTCTCATAATTTTAAATCTAGTCCCCAACATAGTCATCTTTGCTCTGAATTTTGGTATAAGGATCAGTCGGAAAGTAGTACCTGATTTTGTTTTACAACGAAGTCCGCTACTGTACAAGGTCCAAGGAAAACGGACCATTTTACCAATAGATAACCTGGTGGAGATGCTGATTTTCTGTACACAAACAGCACAATTCGGAATGGTATCAAACATATATTGGCAGGATGAAGGCTTAACAATGGGCTCACTATTATCACCAGCAATGGCAAACATATACATGGAATATTCGAAAAAAATGGCATTAGAATCTATATCACTAAAGACAAAGATATGGCTGAGATACCTTAGGTGATACCTTCATACTCTGGTCACACCAAGAAGAGTTTCAGCTATTACTGGACTTTGTGAACTCATCAATACAGTTCCCAATGGAGAGAGGAAAAGCTAACAAAATCGTCTTCTTGGGTGTACTAATATCCGCCTACCGCAAGCCAAAATTCATCGGACAATACCTCAGCTTCAAATCCCAACACACATACAGTGCAAAAAAAAAGGGATCGTCCGCTGCTTACAGTATCAATCAAATGTCATAAGTGGCGACCCAGAGACATGAACAAGAAATGGTTATTATAAGCAATACCCTATAACGTAACAATTACACTAGATAAATGGCAGCAGCTCCGGCAAACTGGGATAGAAGGGTACAAGAGGATAACAATACTCAGAAAATAGCTACGGTCTGCGTACCCTATGTGAAGGGATTATGGGAAAAAATACAAAAAAAAAAATCAGTGGTCCATATAACATCAGGACGACCTTCAAAAGTGGTTCAACACTTCGCAGACATCTTTTGCGTGAACCCCCCCCACTAGAGAACAACATGACTAAGAAGTGTATGTATGCTATTCCGCGCAGCTGTGGTAAGAAATAAAAAAAAAGAGAAACAGGCCGCCCACTTAAGGTAAGACTGCAAGAACATCGTAAAACTGCAACACGTTGGGAAATAGAAAATCAGACATATATTTAGGGAAAAGGGAGATAAATGTCCCCTGTAGGATGATTTGGGAATAATAGAGAACATCACTGAAAAATACGAAAACTTAAGGAATCAGCACATATGCTAAGACACAAAAATCTCCTAAATCAACCGTGCATAATAATGAATACAGTATGGGAACGAGTAATACGGAGTGCTGGAGAAAAGCAATAATAACAACAAAATATTGCAATATGCGTTCTGGTAAAAAAAAAATGATTACTGGTACATTAATTTATAAGTCCAAAAAGTTAATACAGTGACGTCCTTAAGGACATATGGTCCAGAGGATAAAAACGTTTTTTGAATCAAGTGTTGCGAACAAAAAAAACTTGGAGAGTTGAGTTAAACGAAGATAATTTAGATATCCGGAAGAGGCATGGAATATAGAAGCAGAACAGTCTACTCTGTGGGGGGGGGGTACAATAAAGTGTTCAGTGTGAAATTCGAAACACCTGAAGATGTCCGGTGCCTACAAAAGCCGAAACGTCGTGAATATGGCAAAAAAGATGTGGACAAAATCCAAGCAATGTTAAAAGTGTAAATAATTACAGTACCTCATCTCAGAAATATAGACAGAAATTGAAGAAGGCCGGAGCGTACAGCGGCCGAAATGTCGGGAATATAGCAACAAAGATGATGACAACATTTCGAAAAGTGTAAATAATGTAAATAATTAAAATACCCCATCTCATAAATATCGACCGATATCACCAACATTTGTTTTGGCTACCTCAGGTCGAAATCAGTTTTTTTTTATTTATATATTTGTTTCTACAAGCATGTACCCCAGCTATGGATAAATAGCAAAACGGACTGGGCTCTTTGGCATTCCTTCATTGGGCTATCCTATACAAAACACTCTCCTGTTGATACGCCCAAAGTTGAGGGTTATCCCACTTAATTGGCTAAAAATGCACAGACCTACTTCTGTTTATCTCTTTTTCTTCTACAAGATGTCATAGATCATTGATGAAACCGCCCAACGAAGGGCATTCGCTTCCGTGGTCCACTTATTTTTACCAAGACTCAACCGTCCTGGGTATGACGATAAACTACATCCAGCAGCAAGGCCTCTGATCAGGATATTTTGAGGAGCGTGGAACCACTTCTTAGTTGCTGGTGTTCCCAGGTCCACCCTAACATGCTAGGGTCCCAGCTTTGGGCAAATAGTTAACTATTAACAGCAATATATTTTTGAAAAAAAATATTACCTGCAATACTTTTTTTGAAAAAATTATTACCAGCAATACATTTTTGAAGGAAAATATTGCCAGAAACAGATTTTTGACAAAAAGAAATATAACCAGCAATAAAAAATCTTGTCGGCATGAAATAACCCATTGAGGTGTTGATATGCCGTAAAACATAATAAACAAAACCAAATTTCCTACAAACTGATTTCTTACAAAGAATATATATTCTATTCATACGAACCTATCCTAAAAATCTTATCGGCATTAAATAACCCATTGAGGTTGATATGCCGTAAAAGAAAATAAACCAAACCAAATATCCTACAAGCTAATTTCTTACAAAGAATATATATTCTATTCATACGAACCTATCTTAAAAATCTTATCGGCATTATTTAACTCATTGAGGTTGATATGATGTAAAAGAAAATAAACCACACCAAATATCCTACAAGCTGATTTCTTACAAAGAATATATATTCTATTCATACGAACACATCCTAAAAATCTTATCGGCATTAAATAACTCATTGAGGTTAATATGGCGTAAAAGAAAATAAACCAAACCAAGTCTCCTACAAGCTGATTTCTTACAAAGAATATATATTCTATTCATACGAACACATCCTAAAAATCTTATCGGCATTAAATAACACATTGAGTTTGATAAGCCGTAAAAAAAGAAATCAAACCAGGAATCATACGAGTTCGCCAAATATTGTTTGCGGGATAAATGTTCCAGGAGGTATAAATAAAAAAGAAGAAAATGTCCACACCTTGGAGTGTTTAGTCCCGCAACAAAGTACAATCTTCAGATTTTACGCAACTCGTGACCGTGTTTGTTAAGAACAAAGCTAGACATTCTTACGTTGTTTTGTGATTCACTGTGGTCACCAAACTAAATACTAATTAGTTTCGACGCTTTTAAACGTTACTAATTGAATGCAATCAACACGCAGAGCCGAGCTTTGCTTCAACTGATGATGAGCCACACTAGCAAAACGATATTCGAGACAGGCGTGTTCACCATCACACCACGTTTGGCGCCATCTTCCAGGCATCTTCTTCATACAGGCATCTGAAACCACACCAGACGGAAGCAATTATCAGTTAGCAAATTTCAACAGTTTCATTTCATACGCTTCTTTTTTTTTTAACTTCGTTTCTAAATTGTTTAATTTTCCCGTTATTTGATTTTCTGGAAAGTCATCTCATAATTGCTTTTTTTTAGTCAACAAATTTTGACTCATGGGCAAAAAAAAAAAAAAAAAAAAAAAAAAAAAAAACCCGCAAAGAAGAAAAGAGGAGACTTGCAAAACAACGTCTAATTGTAGCTAAATTATTCTTTTCTTTTCCATCTGATCTTGCCATTAGGAAAATGCGTAATTATTTCAATTGAAAATATTCGAAATCCTTCAAATCGAATAAGCCGGTGTATATTCAATAATACTTGGGATTAGTAATTTTCAATAATCCAATTGAATAGACTAATCATTCCTGGAAGGAAATGAAAAAAGCCATAAGGATGTTTTCTTTTTTCTCTTTTTGACAGTTTCTCTTTTTTTTCACTCTTTACTCCAGTATCGTTTTCAAATTTACTTGCTATATTGCTAAATAACAGGTTTTACAAATGCGTATCAGGTCAATAGGTCTAGGTCCCTCATTCGCTTCCGTGGTCCACTTATTTTTACCAAGACTCAACCGTCCTGGGTATGACGATAAACTACGTCCAGCAGCAAGGCCTCTGATCAGGATATTTTGAGGAGCGTTGACCCACTTCTTAATTGCTGGTGTTCTTAGGTCCACCCTAAACCGGGGGTGGTAGCACCTGCTAGGGTCTCAGCTTTGGGCAAAGAGTTTACTATTACCAGCAATGCATTTTTGAAAAAAATTATTACCAGCAATACTTTTTTGAAAAACTTATTAGCAGCAATACATTTTTGAAGGGAAAATTTTTCCAGAAACAGATTATGACAAAATATTACCAGCAATAAAAAATCTTGTCGGCATTAAATAACCCATTGAGGTGTTGATATGCCGTAAAACAAAATAAACCCAACCAAATCTCCTACAGACTAATTTCTTACAAAGAATATAGATTCTATTCATACGAAACTATCCTAAAAATCTAGTCAGCATTAAATAACTCATTGAGGGTGATATGCCGTAAAACAAAATAAACCAAACCAAATCTCTACAAACTAATTTCTTACAAAGAATATATATTCTATTCATACAAACCTATCCTAAAAATCTTATCGGCATTAAATAACCCATTGAGGTTGATATGCCGTAAAAGAAAATAAACCAAACCAAATCTCCTCCAGACTAATTTTTTACAAAGAATATATATTCTATTCATACGAAACTATCCTAAAAATCTAGTCGGCATTAAATTAACAAATGCGTATCGGGTCAATAGGTTTGGGCCCGTCTTTCGTTTGAAAATGTCTCCCAAGTCCAGCCCTATTGGTCCTGTGGGTCACTTCGAAGGGAGAACAGAGATTGGACCAGAAAGAGGTTGTCTGAGTAGGAAGTTCACAAGAGTTTTATGTTTGAGTTCTTGTATTCTTTACTATATCTTCCTTGTACAAATACCCCTCAGAAAGGTATGAATCGATCTCATCCCCCAGATAAGGCTTAAATAGTATAGTAGGACATGTACCTGGAAAAATCATTAGTATACTCAAAATATTGTTACTGCAAAAACAAATCGAGAAAAAAAAGCAGAATTATTGTTACAATCCCAAAATGTTTTGGCTTTAAATAATGCTCAAAGCGTTGATAAGCTGTAAAAACAAATCAATCAATAGCATATGTTCCATATAGATTTAGATATTGATTATGAAGTAAGCCTTTAGATTTATTTTATGATAATTTCCCCCAATAGGATGTTCAAGATCCATTCACTGTAGAGGGGTAATGAATGATGTGCGCGATAAAAGAGAAACTAGGCAATAAAAAATAGTTTTGGTTTGTATCTGTCTATATTTCTGAGATGAAGTATTATGTACACTATTTACATACTTCGAACTATTGTCCTCATCTTTGTGACCATATTTATCACAATATTTCGGCCGTTGTACGCTCCGGCCTTTTTCAGGTGGCTGGAATGTCGAACTGGGCCCTTTATTTCGCTCACTGGGCTAGACTGTTCTAGTTCCACGTGCCATGTCTAATGGATTTCAGTTATCAGTTATCTCCTGTTAATTCCCGTCTCCAAGTTCTTCTCCGCCTTAACCGGGTATTGAACTCACACTCTTTAAAAATTAAAAAAAAAAAATCGGTCAATAATTATTTATACCTATTTATACTGCATGCAATTACAAGTAATCCATAATAATATTTTAAATTTTGATATGTGATTTTTTAAAAACTGTTTCTAAATCCTTGTTTATCTTTCAATCATTCCACTTCATCTGTTATCCTTTTCCGCCTCTTCTGCTATCCTCTTCCGTCTCACTTGTTTCCTCTTCCGTCTCCCCTGCTATCATCTTCCGCCTCACCTGCTAACCTATTCCGTCTCTAATGCTATCCTTTTCCGTCTCACCTGTTTCCTCTTCCGTCTCACCTGCTATCATCTTCCGCCTCACCTGCTAACTTCTTCCGCCTCTTCTGCTATCTTCTTCCGTCTCACCTGTTTCCTCTTCTGTCTCACCTGCTATCCTATTACGCCTCACCTGCTAACCTCTTCCCCCTCTTCTTCTATCCTCTTCCGCCTCACCAGCTATCCTCTTTCGCTTCACCTGCTAACCTCTTCCGTCTCATCTGCTATCCTTTTCCACCTCATCTGATATCCTCTTCCGCCTCACCTGCTATCCTCTTCCGCCTCACCTGCTATCCTCTTTCGCTTCATCTATGAGGTGTGTCGCACCCTTTGGAAACCACTGCCCTAAATAGTCTTCCTGTACTGTCGAGCTCAATCTACCCGAGGTAGCTGGAATAAGGGGCCAGTTTTCTTCATCCGCTTTGGAGCTGGATTTAATTGTCAATGGCTATTTGAGATGTACGTGAAGGAAGCATTATATAGACAGGGTAACCTTGTCCACACTATGATAATCTTATGATATAAGATGTCTCCATTGGCTAAGTTATTAGCAATGAAGGACCAACTCCCAAAAAATAACATTCCAAAAAATAATTCTCTGCCGAACATCGAGAACGCAGTGTACATTCTATCGATATTATGATCTTGTAAGAATCAATAATTTTCGATGCTGACAAACGTCGTGGCTTGAGAAAGGTCTATTGTTAATCTCCAAAAATTATTCCCTGACAAAAGAAACAAAATTATGAGTAGATTAATGCATTTAGTTAATTCTCCTTCTTTATTATTGAGTCTAAGCATTCGTAAAGATCTAATTGTTAGTTTATTTTGCTGGTTGTGTTGATACATAGACAGCTAAACCTAAGACACTTCCCCCAGGTACAATGGTTAGCAAGCTTTTCTTACGAGATCATATACGACAGATTAGCAAATTCGATACTCACCAAGTGTTATATACTCTTGACCTTGTGCCACAAGTAAGCAATGGCTACTAGGTTTTTGTCCTTCAATTTCACGATTTTTCTGATATTCTTCGGAATGTTGGAAGAATTCCTTTTTCGATTTGGAATCGAACAGTTTGAGTGGTGTTGATTTTGTTTAGCGGCATATCAATACCTCTATGGGTTATTTAATGCCGAAATCTCTAGTATATTGAACGCATTTATATTAAGACATTTTCATGTTTATACATTCTTTTTATAGATACAAATATTTAAGTAAATGCTCTGTTTATAATAAACAGTATTAAACAACATTTACCGGCCTGAATATCCGAGAAATTTACATAGGAATCGAACCTGTATCCTATACGGAACCGTCATATAGCCTGACGTGCCTTAACCGATTAGGCCACAGAGGAGCGTTCGGTTACCAAAGTCGATTTTACTGTCTTTAAACTCCAATCTTCCAAGATTCTCTCACGTACATTCATATCTGCTCATAGCGTAGCCAAATGTAAACAAATGACGTCACACATTTATATGTATTATAGTACAGATAAAATGTAATTTTCGTCATTTTAATATAATAAGTATTGTTGGTTATTTTACTTTAAAAATATATCGTTGGTCATTGTAGTATAAAAATGTACTGTTGGTGATTTTACTGTAAAAATTTATTGCTGGAAATTTTGCTATAAATCGTATTGTTGGCCATTTTTTATATAAAAATACGTTTCTGGTATTTTTATTATGCTTATAAAAATATTACGCTTATATCGCTGGACCCGTATTTATGAACATCTTTGGTTTGATATCTCGACTTATAAAAGAGTTCTGAAAATAGATATCTGATGTAATGAATATGCATACACCTGGGTTCCCCCTCACAGTAATATGATTGGCTGGTGTCAGCCATAAATACAGACTGATGTGGAGGTAGATGGACGCCTATTCACGCGCCTATTGCCTACGCCTATTGCCTACCACTACGATGAGGACCAGTCCATTACGGTTATCTGCTAGATTGTCCTACCGGGTTACATTAGTCAACAACCACTTTGTTACATTGAACAAATATATCCCTTTCCGGGACATATCAATATCCAAAGAGGGATATGCAATGTGATAGGTTCTGACCTGGCATCTCGACTCCAGTCACATTATCACAGATGTAATGTGGCTTCCCTCTGCCTTTTCAGCAAATATTTTCATGGCAACGGCTCTGACGGGCTATTTTCCCTGGAGCCCCGGCTGAACGAATTTAAGCGTGCTACTAGGTTGACCTCTCGGTTTCACTCTTCTCCTGTCGAAACAGATAAATGTAACCGCCGCTTCTACTTTAACAGCTTCTTCTCTCGCGCTTCCCGACAGTGGAACTCCCTTCCTCTTACTTGCTTCCCTGGTAACTATAATCTCCAAAAGTTTAAATGTAATGTCAATCGACATCTAATGTCTTGATTTTGATCCCTGTCCTTCTCTTTATCCTTTCCTCCCCCCCCCTTTTTTTCTTACTTTCGTTCTCTGTAACTGTTTGTGTGTTAGTGGTACTACCACCTTGCTTGGGGTGAAATGCTTTAAAAAGAAAGTTTACGCCTGTATTTAACTCATGTATTAGTCGATCCCCTTTCTCTGTTTAAATGTTAAGTTTAAAAAAGTCGACTTACGTTTACGAAGTAAAGAAACTATTATTGTTGGATTTGTATGTATGAACTTTTTCGTCTCTTATCTCGATTCATGCAAGAATGCCCGGAGTGTTGAAAAATAAATATAGTTTAGGCCTGTGTAATTATCCTTTATGAATATTAAAAATATGTTTTTAAAAAAGTCGTTTTGTTTCTCTATTGTGGAAGCATTTCTAAATTTGTTTCACAAATTGTTTAGTGGCGGAAAACAAAGTTGTTTATCAAACATCTGTCTCAAGGTAAACACTGCCTTTCGCAGCCTCACCATGACGAGGTGTAAATACTTAATGATGACACAACTGCTCGTTTCAGAATTGCTTCCAAAGTTCTAATGATAGAAACCTTATCTAAAGTGTCACTGAGTACAACCGTCTTATTAAAATCAATATCATTTTTCTCTCTCCCTCTGATATTTCTCATTTTTCCTCTCACTCGCTCTCCTTCTCCATCTCTCTCATTTTACCTTTCCTTTTTGGGATCAAAACTTATCTATCGGTGGAGATTCCTTTATTCATTGTTTGTCTATCTGGATTATCGTTTCCTTGACATAATCCCACCTGATTGTATATGTCGTATTATGGATGTCATTTTGGTGATATCTTTATACGGACATAAAGATTCAAAGATTCTATCTATCTATCTATCTATCTATCTATCTATCTATCTATCTATCTATCTCAATCTGTTCATTATCTATCTATCTATATATCGATCTAGCTCTATCTAGCTATCTATATATCTATCTAACTCTATCTAATTATCTATTTCAGTCTGTTTATATCCATGTCAATCTCTTTATATTTATACATCATTCTAAGTTTGCTTATATCTCTCTCAGTTCATATCTATCTATCTATCTATCTATCTATCTATCTATCTATCTCAGTTTGTTCATATTTAGTATATCTCTATATCTATGTCAGTCTCTTCATATTTATCTGTCAATTTATTTATCTATCTACCTATTTCATTCTGTTCATACCTATCTAGCTATCTATCTAGCGATATATCTCAGTCAGTTCATATCTATCTATTTAACTATCTCAGTTTGTTCAAATCGTTATCTGTCTGTTCTTATCTATCTATCTATCTATCTATCTATCTATCTATCTATCTATCTATCTATCGATCTATCTCTATCTATCTATCTCTATCTAATTAACTATTTCAGTCTTCATAGCTATGTCGGTCTCTTTATATCTATATGTCATTCTAAGTTTGCTTATATCCCCCTCATATCTATCTATCTATCTATCTATCTATCTATCTATCTATCTCAGTCTGTTTATATCTATCTATCGTTTGAGATATATTATTTTCTTATATTATCTATATTTCTGTACATCCCTGCCTTTTATTTGTCATGCTTTCTTACACTTTATTCATTCTGTTTTGGCATATGTTCATATCTATCTATCTATCTATCTATCTATCTATCTATCTATCTATCTATCTATTTATCTATTTCTTTCAGTCTGTTTCTATCTATCTATCTATCTATCTATCTATCTATCTATCTATCTCAGTCAGTTCATATCTATCTACTTAAATATCTCAGTTTGTTCAAATAGTTATCTGTCTGTTCCTATCTATCTATCTATCTATTTATCTATCTATCTCAGATAATTCATATCTATCCATCTAATTCATATCTATCTATCTCAGTCTGTTCATATCTATCTATCTATCTATCTATCTATCTATCTATCTATCTATCGCTGCCTGTACATATCTAGCTCAGTCTGTTCATATATGTCTATCTATTTAACTATATCAGTTTGTTTATATCGTTCACAGTCTGTTCCTATCTATCTATCTATCTATCTATCTATCTATCTATCTCTGTTCTCATCTATCTAACTATCTCTCTCAATCTGTTCTCATCTGTTTCAGTCTGTTCATATCTATCTATCTATCTATCTATCTATCTATCTATCTATCTATACTCATATTTAACACGTTTATTTGTCTTCGTGTGTTGATGAATAGTTCAGCAATTATCCAAATTCTGGCAAAATGAATAAAATCTGGATTTTTTTAAAATCCATTCTTGGCTGAGCTGAGAAATTCTCAGCACTTGCTTTTGATCGCAGCTGGTTAATAACTGTCTCTGTCTCTCCCATATATATATATATATATATATATATATATATATATATATATATATATATATATAAACACAAGAAAAAACTTATTTTAACAGACCCGTTTCATTTACTGATGCACTTTATCAAGGCAAACGCAAGCATTTTATTTTGTAACAAGAATTTGTATACAGGAGTAAAAATCTTATTTGTTTTTAATAATTTTAAATCCAAGAACGCTCATATTTATCACGTTAGCCGAAAAGCCAGGCGACCCATGGAGGACGTGAAGTCACACAATTCTATATCTAATAAAAGAAAGTTTAGGATTTTTTTTTTTTTTGTCTGTATTAATTATTTTGGTTTGGGATTAATTTGTGTTATATATTTTAAATAACATGAGGTGTGGGTTTAACAGTTTTCTTTTTATTTTAAACGTATTTACAGTCCAGAATGTTGACTTGGGAATGTTGTAATTATTTCAGGAATGAAAATATTGGGAAAAAAATCCGCGCCGCAAATTTATATTTTGATAAGATTCGATAGCTGCACTCTCGAAAATTTTCCTTCGAAGTAAGTTACTTTCTCTTTTAATAAGTGTGGATTTCTTTAGATCAAAGTTGTGGTTGAATTTATATCTATCTATAACTAATGCATTTGATAAATTGTTGTGTATAAGATCCCTTTTGTGTTCAAACATATATTTTTTTAAAATTCTGCAAGTTTCCCTAATATATAGTGAAATTTATTTTATATATTCCTGCTTCAGAATTATTACTGTTATGAATATTTTAGGATTTGATCAGGTATATAAAAAAAAATTGGATGTTGCATTTATTTTGATGTTGTTTGGATTGGATAAATTGTATTGGATAGTCGATGTTATAGGGTTAATCGATAGTATTACGTCTTTCTTTTTATCAGGTTTATTGTTGTTAATTTTTTGCAGTCGTATATTCTGTATGTTGTTCTCTTAGTATTGTGGGTGAAATAATAAGGGTATTTTTTTTTAATGTGTTTTCTATGTATATTTCTACTTTGGGTAAATACTGGGGGCTGCATATTCTTATTGTTCTTGAATAGAATCGTTTAATTATTCCATATTTCACCTTGTTGCAGGGTTTGGAATACAAATTGACCAGCTCATTCTTCATAGTACCTTTTTGTGTAAACTCTCAAACTGAAAATCGTTATTATTTCAATTCAACATGATTTCCCGGAATGGTAATGTGTTGTTTGACTCAAATTTAAAGGTAATGTCTACTATGGTGTCGACGTCATTCATTTTGTTGACAAGATTTGGTAAAATTATGTTTTACGGAATTATTAATAGAGAATCATATTTGTATCTGAAATGGGAAGAATTATGTGCTAAAATATTTTTGAAGGCCGATTCGACATTCGTATATCGGCTTGGAATCAGAGGAGTAAAAAAGAGAAAGGCCATCATGGCTCTATCAGAAGCTGCAGAGAAAGCCTCAAAATGGCTATGGATTAAAAGATCTGTTCCATGGAGCTCTACGACGAGGATTGGTGGACGTTGAGAGGCAGTTGGGAATAAAGGAATAAAGGAAAAGGGATATGTGGGGAGGGTCCTATTAATTTTTAATTTCTTTTATTTTTTTATATATTTTTTTTTTCACCTTTTTCAACAATGCCGTCTTTGTGTTCCTAACTGTTTTTTTTTTTTTGCTTTTTTTTTTTTTTTGCATTCCTAGTCGGGAGGGGAGAGAGGAAGAGTAAAGAAAGAATAGAAAAAAAAATGGCGGTGGTGAGAAAAGAAAGCAAGAAACGTTTCTGATCATAATTCTTATGACCAACGAATGTGTTCGATATTTAGTTTTTCTTTTCTTTTTTCTTTGGTGGTGGGGGTTAAAGTGACACTTCATATGAAAGGAAACTTTTCTTGTCATTACTTACCTGTTATGTCAGACTGTCCGTTGAGAATGGGGATCGTGGTCAAGCTAAGATGGGAAAAAAAGAAAAGAAAAGACGACCATGCTGTCTTTTCTTTTTTTGTATCTTCTTTGGTTGAGGAGGAAGTGACGTAAGTCATTAACCATTGGTCAGCAGTGGCATTTATTTAACGAGTTCATTTGGTGCGTGCTTGGCGTATTTTTTTTTTATGCTTCAGGATCGCCTGCCGGAATAGTACTGTTTCGGTAGGGTCTCTTGGGCGAACAAGTATGATGTTGGAAGACCCGAAACTTGTCATGACCCCAAGTCATAACATCACTGACGAGGCGATCCTGATCACTAGTTGAAGTGTTTTCATGTATATATATATATATATATATATATATATATATATATATATATTAAAACATATATGTATATTAATATATATATGTATATAAATAAAAAGAAAAGAACAGTAAGATATATAATCCGGTGTTCTTATGGATATTTTTATTTTTACAAAATAGTGCTCAATGTAAATATTAATATATATGTACATTAATATCGATATATATATACATTCTTTATATATATATATATATATATATATATATATATATATATATATATATATATATATATATATATATATATATAGCAGATAGATAGATAGGGGGCACCTCGTGGTAGTGTAATGGTTGTCTCGCTACAACAATTACGACTGAGTAGTGAGTTCGATCTTCACTGGGTACCCCTTAATTTCGGCCTTATGACACATCTGACCTACGCTTGGAAAATCACTAAATAGGCCAATAATATATACAGGGTGATTGAAAAAATAACTCCCTATTTTATCTATGATGGACTCTTCAGTCTTGTAGAAAATATAGTTAGACAGGAGAGTCCATCATACATAAAATAAGGGGTTACTTTTCAATCATCCTGTATATAATTTTTTTTATATATCGGAACACTGTGAGGCAACTTATCGACAATGTTGAATTTTTATTTTCTCTGCACCGCGTTTTGTCCTTTCCTAATATTTTGTTGATGTAATTATATATTCATCTGAAAGTGAAGGGAATATAAAGTTACAATAAAGTTCATAATTAGGCCTAGATAGTAAAAACTGAAAGGGTTTTTTGGTGGGTGGGTAACCCATCCGAATATGGAGTTTAGTCATTTCTGTTTATAATTATTTTTTTTTATGTATTTCTTTTTGCATTTCTTTTTACTTTTTATTATTAAGTATATCTCGTATTATTATTAAACATATTCCATATTACAACAATAAAACTCATGCCAAGGAAGGCGAAATGTTAGAACGTGGACGCGGATTTACTGTGTAGGATCTAGCGATTAAAGCACTTTCTATATGTTATAGTGGAACACACCAATTCTATAGTTAATAGACTCTCCCACCTATAATAAGTAGGAGTAGTAAGAGTAACGAGGGGTCGCTCAGTGGGTCGGTCTGAGTTCAGTTCCGCTGACCGGTTGAACTCTCTGCCTTCGGGCGGGGAGGAACCCGAACGAGGCTACGCTTTCGGGGAGGTAAACCGACCCTGAACCCGTTTATACGGGTTAAAAGGGCATATTTTTGGCCGAGCCCACGGGCTCTGAGATCCCACGTTAAACCGGCCTTGTGCCACTTTATGCCCTCGTGTTTTTGACTGAATACCGTTCAGTCGGTCGGTCAGTCAGTCGATGCCGGACGACCGTTAGTCGGATACTAAAGTATCAGCGACCACAACTATATTTCTCTGCGTCATTACCTATTCTATGAAGTTATAAGATATGTAACTGATTTGAAATTTCTGTTTTTCAGAAAATTTACTTTGGATAATTACTTATGCTTATTTCACCGTAATGGCTTGTATTGCAGCAAAAGATGATGGGAATAAGAGGAAAAGATGACAACGAGACACATCTGCAACATGATAGCATGGTTTTGATGAAACATGGACTTAAATTGAAAAACCTACTGAAAAAGTTTTATGGAAAGAAAGCCAGCATTCAGCTATGACGATTGTAATAACGCACGGAGAGTTTAAAAGATTTTTTTTTTTGTTTTAATAATTTCAAGATCAAAAGGAAAACGAAATGGAGGGAAAGTTGAGAATGACATTAGAAGAGAAAAAAATCATCGTGTAACAGCGATTAAAAAATCCTAGTTACATTATTTGTTTTGCATACATGGCATACTTAATTTAATGAACTTTCATTAACATTATATAATTTATTTATTTTTCCTTAAAATCAATTCCGTTATATTTCACTCACCATTAGCTTATTTTGTTTACTTTAAAAACATAGAAAATAA